TCACACAAATATTAGACCTCTCTATCACACAGATACCCACACATTGGGCATCTCTTTCCCTCAAAAAAAATGTTGAACCACTCTTTCTCTCTTATAGCTTATGTTTTGGTTAAGACTTTATTTATTTTCTTCATTTAAATAAAATACATTTGTGGCAATCTATTCCCTAAATTATTTTTATTTTAATATGCTCTAAAAAAATTTTATTTTCGCATGTTGCATTCGTAGAAGGTGTGGTTTTTTGACATCAGGTTTAGTCTTCGTGTTGCATTAATTAATACAATAATAATAGGAACATTGGGTTGATCATTTCGGTTATCTAAACGTATGGTTTCTTTTTGGCAAACTTCGTCCTCAACCTCCTTGGAATGAAATAAATACAAGGAAAACTTCCAATATAATAAATTCCAGTTATACATACCGAATGGTCCAATATAACGATGGATAAATCTTTACAACTTAGGGGCCCAGTTTGAATGTCAAAGAAAAAAATATTCATATTGAAAAAAAATGCTATTTTTTTCCCTCTTCAATGGAGAAACATTTTCGTTTTATTTTATTATGTTGGTAGACTGTTTGAATGTCTATTAAAATATGAGAAAAAAAATTTATTTGCCAGATATGTCTGTTTAGATGCGTTGCAATTTTATTTTTTTGCATATTCTTGATCACCATAGAGCAGTCGAAAATGGAAGAAAAATAATTTGAAATATGAAATTTTAAAAAAATCGATAAGAAATCTCAAACCCAATTTACACAATTTCAAAATTTGATTATATTGATTCCTCTCTCTCTAGATCTGCAGTTTATTTATAAATGTAAAAAAGAGAGAATGTAAATACATGTAAGACAGAGAGAATAAGAAGACTGAGAAGAACTCATAAGAGAGACTATCAATATTATTATTAGAGAGAAACTTGATGGACAAGGAATCACGATTCCTAGAGATATCGAACATAACCGTGAATTTTGAAGAATCACTATTCCTAGAGATATCGAACATAGCCTTGAATTTCTAGAGAGAGTAATGAAAGTAGAAATTCAATACCCGAAGAATCACGATTCCTAGAGATATCGAACATAACCCTGAATTTTGAAGAATCACGATTCCAAGAGATATCGAACATAACCCTGAATTTCTAGAGAGAGCAATGAAAGTAGAAATTATACGTGTTAATAAGTAAGAGAAGAGAATCTAGAAGTACAACAACTCTCCAACAACCCCGTCGAAATGCTAGGGAGAGTTCTGTGAAATTAGGGGGCAACTTTTTAGAAAGAGAAAGATGGAAAATGTTCATTTTTCAGAGAGAGAAAAAATCGAACTATTACTGGGAGATGGGATATGCATAGTTGAAGATAAGAGAAGGAAAGAGTTGTGAGACCTGCTTGAGAGTGGGCGAGAGACTTTTGTAAATTCGACTTGAAAGGTTGGGGAAAAAGCAAAAAAAAAAATTGGGGGAAAAAGCGAAAAAAAATCTGCATAGTTGTATATGAGAAGGAAAGAACTGTGAGATAAGTTTGAGAGTGGGAGAGATGCTTTTGTAGGTGCGACTCAGAGCTTTTGGAAGAAAGGAGTGAAGAGGGAAGCGAAAAAAATTTAAGCTAAAAAAATCAAAATTTTCTGACTCACATTTTGGACAAATTTGGCTTAGCATCATAATGTGTTTTGTTGGAGAATAAAATCTAATGGGTTATCTAAACGGTTACCAGTTGCTATCTCAATCTTTTTTTTTGTCATTTGAAAATATTTTCAATTTTGGATACATCTAAACTGGCCCTTACCGATTAGAATATCCTCAAATATCTCGCGAATGGTAGAAGCCCAAGCACACAACTGTATCCCCATGGTAGCAACAATAAACATTAAAATTTTCAAATTTAGAATTTTTTTGCTTTGGAAAAAAAAAAAAGGAAATGAAAAAAATCAAGAAATATTTAAAAATAAAGTCGAGCTAGTTTAACAGAAGAACTGGTTGGTTCTTGATATTTAATGGAATTTTTGATCGGCCTAATCAATTGTCGAATCGGATCGGCTGTTGTTTGGAAAAAAAAAAAAAAAAAATTAGGTAATGAAAAAAAATCAAGAAATATTAAAAATAAAGTCCAGCTGGTTTAACGAAAGAACCGGCTGGTTTTTGATATTTAATGGAATTTGGATCACCCTAATCAATTGTCGAATTGGATTGGCTGGTTCAATCTGGATCATCGATTTATACTTGTATCTCAAATCTCATCAAATTTCAATCCAGATCAGAGGATATTTAAAACCTTGGTATAACTGTATCTCAAATCTCATCAAATTTCACTGGACAACTCAATGTAGGAAAACCCTTAATAGGAAAACTTTCAAACTAATCATCATGAAAAATATTGATTTGAAAGCTAAAAATAATTTAAAGTCCTACAAATAGTAATATGTATCTAGGGGAAGATACTAGGGTAAACCCACTAGCTCACAGGAAAAAATGAGCTCAATGGTTTAGATTGAATCTAGACCGATCTGACGATCACGGATGTCTGGTAGTGTTTGAATTTTAATTTTTTTTCTACAAATCCAAATCACTTGAAATTTGGCTCATGTGTATATCAAAAATAGGTGAATCTTCAAAAAATATCAAAAAAATATTTTACATGCAATAAATTGATAAAAAAACCCCCAAAAAATTTCGAGGGGTATTTTGGTTAATGTTTTTT